TATGACTGTTAACATGTACGAGTATGCTCATGTTTCTTTTTCCACATTTAACTTATTTCATTTTTCACCATCTTCGTCAATTTTCTCGTGCAGATTGATGTATCGCAGGCTATTGTATGTGTTATAGCGTTCCAGATTGCAAATTTTGGTGAGAGCCTGATAGGTGCAGCACTACAAGATAAGGAGGGTTTTCAATGGGTAAGATATTCTTGGCCTCAATTTGTCTATATTGCCAATTTGCATCTTTGTTTACCTTTTGGTCCGTATTTCACATGATTTTTGAACAATATACCTTTCTATTATATCACTTACGAAAAGCTATCATACTTTTGATCTTCTCAAATCCATAACTGTGTGGAAAAAGACAATGGAGTCCTGTGAGAGCATATCTTTATTTCTGAGAATGCTTCTTATAGTTTAAAACATGAAGCCTGTACATGGTAATGTCTTATTGTGCCAGGCTTTAAATGCTAGGAATGTGATAACTAGAAATCGAGGATGCACAATTTGTTAGATATGAGCAGCGTACGACATATGACATAACTTGGGTGGTGTTTGACAAGGTGTTATGTTCTTGTGTTGAACCATAAACCCAAGAATGACATATGTAATTGAATGTTGGCGATGGTTTATGTTCTTGTGATGAACCATAAAGCCAACAGTGATATATCATATATGTATCATATATGTGCATGAAGTTAAGCTGCTCAGAACTTAGGGAAAAGCTCTAATATTGCAGGGAAGAATATCATAGATTATGAGTGCTAAAACTGGGATTTGCATCAGTTGGTTGTCTGCTAACTTGGAGTATGAGAATGACAAGGCAATTACTGTCAATCCTTTGGTTTTTTTTTATGCTTTGCCCTGTGAAGGTAACAAGACCATGACTTCTTTCGTTGTAGCTCAACAACGACCTTGTCAATGTAATCAACATCTCCATCGGCAGCATTCTGGCTTCTGATGCAGCAGCTCATTCTAAGGAGTTGACAGGGATGACATACCCTTGTTGACATGTTATCACGTTCCATCAACCTATGAGAACTCATTGACGTTGACATCCTTGTATGAAGAGAATATCTCCATGAACTGGAAGAGGTGTAGTTTTATTTCTCACTGTTAACAGCAATTGATAAGTAAGGACAGTAATTCATCTAGAGTTAGTAGCATTTGATAAGGACAGTAAGGACATTCATCTAGAGTTAATGTAACTAATGCAAATATGTCTTTTCAGTAAATTGATCAGTTATCTATAATTTTCAGGGAGAAATTCTGCTCCTGCTCAGCTTTCAGCATCCACTGAGAATGGAAGTATTATGCAAAATTCTAATAAGACTGTAAAGCCATTCAGTGTGCATCCCTTGCCTTCATTTATTCTCAGCCATAAAAAAAACAGTAAACCCAGATCCGTACATTATTCACATTTTAAATATTTACATTTGGGTTGTCTGTATATTTTAAATATTTACATTATTCATATTTTAAATTATTGAAATTTCATCATGTGACGATGAAGGTGATAAAAAAGATGATAAATGAGGGTCACTCAACCAACAAGCAAGCAATTGTTACTTCAAATCGACTTTATGACGATGAAGAAGAACCATCGATTGAGGAGTATTATGATGATGAGGAGAGCTCTTATGAAGTTAACAAAAAAAATGAAGGTTGAGAATTCAGATCCTGATTATGTCCCTAGCGAAAATGTTCCTACTACTGCTCAAGTCAATTTTCTTTTGCTGCTAAGATCAAAGACGAAGAAGAAGCAGATAAATTATTTACTGAAGCTATGGGCATTCTTGCAGCTATCTGGAAATTTCATCAGGAGAATGAGTTTAGATGTCTTAGTCTTAGAAGAATAAATGTCAAGTCAATAAATTTAGGTCTACGAGTTTGTGAATCTTATTGTTGGAAGTTTTTATCAGCTTAGATAATGTGACAAAGAACTTATGTTTAGATCTTTATGTTTCTTTAATATTGACTTTATGAATGATATGGTTTGTGTGTTAAATATGATATAGTTTTCAAATTTATTACTTCATTTTCAAAGCTTCACAATTTTTTGTGTTGTTGCCTATCCAATTTTAAATTTATATAATGTAACAAACTCTTGTTGCCTTTTTATAATTGTATGCATATACCCTTGATTTATCAAACCAAATACTATTTACAAGAGCAAATTCGCTTTTGCGTAAGTGATTGGGTGATGAAACCAAAACTTACTTCTAACACTATTTATGTCTTCGAATCTTTTAAGTCAAGATTCGTTTTTTGGAAAACCTTGTTTTATAATGTAAAAACATGATATTTATGTGCAGTTACTTTTGTCTCTACTAAAAATTTGCAGTCCTTTTTATTTATGCAAATAGTCCACCAGTCATCATCCATAATTGTGTGTCAATCACGAATAGCTAAGTTATCCACACAAATCTTCTGCCCATTTGAGAAAACATAAGTTTCGGATAACTGGGACTGAAGAAACATCTATCACGAGGATTTTAGAGCACTGCAGGTCAGTCATTCGCTATGGAATTTGACTAGATTTTTATCGATGTATATTTTCTTTTCAAAAGTAATGCTTTATATAGTTTGTATAGTATTACAACAATAGTTTTATTACTGGTGCAATTACAATGTTGACTTATTCATATCTCACATTTCAAAAGATTGATAATGTATCATCTGATCGAGTTTCGGGAATACGATGTATATGTCGTTTGCTTTAAATCAGCATTGTGTGTTCTATATATATTGCTAACATATATGTTACATAAAGGTATCTACATTAATAGAAACTAAAATGGATCATTATGTTACAAGCCTTCTTCGATTCCAGGTTTCTCCGAACCAATGCGGTCCAAATGTATGTACTAATGCCTACTCAAGTTTATAAATAGGAGTGACATGATACCTTGGGCTAATGAGTTTCTACTTCTCACTTCCATGCTGTGCAAAACTGTAGAAGAGAGGCATATACGAGATAGGAGAGCTTTTCTGCTCCATAGCCTTTTTGTAGATGTTGCAATTTTTAGAGCGATTGCTTCCATACAGTATGTAATGGAAAAACGTATTGCTTCTTCAATTGAGAAAGATGAAATTTTGCACTTCGAGACAGTAGGGGATTTCAGCATTACTGTCACCAGAGATACTTCAGATGCAAGCTGCAAGTTGGATACAAAGATTGATGGGAATAGGAAAACGGGAATGGACCGCAAACATCTTATAGAGAGAAACTTACTGAAAGGAATCACTGCTGCTGAAAAGACAACAACTCATGTGGGATAAACTCTTAACTCTGTATTCACTATTATTCTCTTTTAATAAACTGTGATACCAAGTGTTTTTCTTCTTCTTGTATTCGTTGTTTCCTTTCTTTTCTTTTTTATTCTTTCTTTTTTGTGAGGAATTGTATTCATTGTTATTAATATAGGATTTCATCACCTTGGGCGTCATGAATGTGTGGTATTGTGGTTATATTGCAATCGTGAAAGTCAACAACTTTGACAAAAGTAAATTGGACCCTTTGCAAGCCATTGATATTGAGGACCAACCTGATGGGGGAGCTAATGCTCAAAACATTAACAGGTAGCCTAGGATGCATGTACATCTTTCGTTCTCATCTATCTATATAATTGCTTCTAATGTAGTTACTGACTACTTTCAGTTAGAGAATGTTTCTTCACGCGAAACCTATAAAAGAGCAGATAAGAGCAGCTAATCACGCTATGAGCTCAAAGCATGAGGAGCTTACTGTAGGCCAAGCTTTTGTAGAGAAATTGTTAAATGACAGTCTAGCTAGGCTTGACGAAGAGAAGACTGACGAAAACGTCTTCATGAGATGGGAACTTGGAGCTTGCTGGATACAGCACCTGCAAGATCAAAAGAATGCAGAAAAAGAGAAGAAACCTGTGGCTGATAAAGATAAGAAACATAACAGCGAGAAGACTAAAGGTGAAACAAAGGTAGAGGGACTTGGAATGCCTCTTAAATTTCTTAAGAATACAAAGAAGTTAGATGGCTAAGAAGCTTCTTCCTCTTTGGATATGAAAACATCTGTATGTCAACGATGGTGAGAACCAGAATGATCAGCCTTTGTCTACTGAAGATAAATGAGACATTGTAGCACCTGACAAAAACCAACATTTGCTAAAAAATTATTATCTGATCCAGCATTTACAAGGCTAAAAGAATCTAAAACAGGACTTCACCTGCAGGTATGTAGGGGGAGAAGCAGGAATTGTTGACTTGTTATTTTTCAAATATAATGATATATCTTACCTAAAACATCATCGTGAATTTTTCAAACAAAGTCTTTTCTTGTGCTTCTGTTGATCAACTGATTAAATCATCTGATGCAAATATACACACATATATATACATCTTCCTGGATATTCCAGGCATCGACTCTCACTCGGTGTAGTATCTGTGATTGGACTCCTCTCAGGATGATTCTCTAGGGGAAGCTGAGTGCTCTTCCTATTTTCTTCAAATGTGAAATTGT